AGCTGTGGTGGCCTAGTGGCAAGAAACTGCATTGCAATCTTGAGGGCACATGGGTCGAGTCCACCAGCTGCTCCGTAGGAGGATGGGCTGTCAACTCCCATGCAGTTAACTGCCTCTGAAACGAGGCCGGAGGGCCAGCTGTGGGTCAGTTCTGACTTGATAGTATACAACAACAACATGACATGATATACCTCAAGTCCTTGAATGTTAAAGCTGGAAGATCTTGGCAGTTGTATTCAGTCCTTCATTTAAAAGATTGAGTAAACAAATCCCAGTAATTTTAAGTAGCTTGCTCCAGCTTACACCATTGGCTGATAGTGCTTCTACGCTTAGACCTCTCATTTTCCCCCGCACTGTTTTGATGATAAAGACTTCTAAACACAGAAAGCTCCTCAACATCATCTGATAGACTTATTTTTGCATTAATAATAGTGTTTTGGCTCAGAAATAATTTTATTCTGATCCATAATATTAGCAGTCCTAGCATCACTGCCTCACAATGCAGTCACTGGTTTCCTTTGACTGCCAATGCCAAGGGGTGAATTTTTAAATTGAAAATTCCAACCTCTACAATTTACCACCTTGCTTTTTCCTCAGCAAGTTTGCATTATATGATTATACATAAGATGCTTTTATTACTGCAGGACATTTGTAACTCAGACGTGTCCAAAGTGAGCTGATGTTTCTGCAGGCTTTTCCAGGCACCTCTATTTCAGGCATAGGGGCGGCACCCCTAACTCTTATCTGTTTCTCCTCCTGCTCAGCATGGCACCACTCTCCTCATGGTCGCCTCCTACGCTGGTCACCTGGACTGCGTGAGGGAACTGGTTCTCCAGGGAGCAGACATCAATCTTCAGAGAGAGGTAGGTCATTTCTTACACTTCTGTAAGAATTACCAGGTTGACCGATGTGGAAGTTTCATGACAGCGAGTAGGCAGGGAAAACCCAGGCGTCATTGCACAGATCCAACTCCTGGGACTTTGTGCGTCAGAGTAGAGCTGGACGCCATGCGTTGCTTTCCAGTGACTGCATCTCTCGAAGTAGATTGCCACGACTCTTCACCCAGAGCTGTCTGTGCGTGGTCTTGAATCTCTGTCCTTTTGATTAGCAGGCGAGCACCTTAACCATATGCATCACCCAGGGACTCCTAGGTGGATAAGTAATTCAAGAGTGACCATGCTTTCCGTTGAGAGCTCTTGACCTAGTGGTAGGAGTTGCGCTGCCAAACCAAAGGCACATGGTTTGAATCCACCAACTGCTCCACAGGGGAAAGATGGGCAGTCTCCTCCCCTGTGATTTATAGTCTCTGGAAAGGATAAGACAAGAGTCAGTTCCCACTGGATGGTACATAACAAGAACTTCATTTCAGTAACAATGTTTTATGTAATGTTAAAGCTTAGTTTCAGGATTCAGTATGCCTAAAATAGGGCCTTGGAACAGGCTAACAGTTGCACTTCAGTTAAATGTATTTTGTCAGGTGCACCTGTAACTTAGTCTTGAGTGACCAAACCTTTAATTATATTCCTTAAATGCTCATAGATTTAGTATCAAGATGAAAGCAGGTCCTGCATCTTCCCTTGGGCTCAGGTGCTATAGTACTGTGATGTTGTTGTGTACCATCAAGTTGACTAACCCGTATCTCACCCTCCAGAGGATTTTCAGAGGCAGTTCATCACACAGGAAGAGCCTGCCCATCTTTCTCCCTCAGAGCAGCTGGTGGACTTGAACCATGTGCCTTAGGGATTGCAGCTCAGCCTTTTGCCATTAGGCCACCAGAGCTCCTGTATGGAACTTGTTAGTACCAGTGAGTCAGTTGTGACTCCCAGTGACCCAGGCGACAGCAGAATAAAGTACTGCCTGGTCCTGGCCCTCCTCATAGTCATTGCTAAGTTTAAGCCCATTGGTCTAGCCGCCATGTGGCCTCTATCTCATTGCAGGTGTTTCTCTTTTTTTGCTGACCCTCTTCTTTGCTAAGGACACTGTCCTTTCCCAAGGACTGGTCTCCCCTGATACCACGTCCAGCAAAGGCTCGCCATCACCGCTTCCCAGGAACGTTCTGGCTGTGCTCCTTCCACAATAGTTCTTCATTCTCTTCGCAGTCCAGGGTCTATTTCATGTTCTTTGGTCATCACGACAATTCAGAGGCATCAACTCTTTTTTGGTCATTTGCTATTTATTACCTACTTTGTATGAATATGTGAGACAATTGAAAATATATGATTTAGGTCTAGCGTACCTCAGTCTTCAAAGTTATGCCTTTGTTTTATAATGCTGTAAAGGAGTTTTTGCTGCATATTTGCCCAGTGCAGAATGTCCTTTGATTTCTGACTTCTGCTTCTGTGGTGTTAATCATACATTCAAGTAAAATGAAATCTTTGACAACTTTAGTCTTTTCTCCATTTATAAAGATAAGTGCTTATTGACCCAGTGGGAAGATTTTATTTTCTTTACATTGAGGTGTATTCATATACAAAGCTGACTCTTCATTGTTGTTGTTGTTGTTATGTGCCGTTGAGTTGCTTGTAACTCATAGCAACCCTATGTACATTAGCTCTGAACCCTGGTTTCTTCTGTCCCAAACTTAGTGTCTCTGACACACCTAGCCTCATTACCCCAGTCACTGAATCAGTCCATTTTTTATCCTGTGCTGTCCCTCCACCCTTCCAAGCATGACGTCCTTCTCCAAGGATTGTTCCCTCCTTGCGACATGCTCAAAGTATGTCAGACAAAGCTTCGGAATCTTTGCCTCCAAAAGAGCAGCCTGACTTTACCCTCTCTAGGATGAACCTGTCTGTTCTCCTGGAAGTCCATGGTATATTCAGTATTTTCTCCAGCACCCAGCTCAAAGGCATTAATTCTCTTTCTATCATCCCTAGTCATTGTCCAGCTTTCTGATACATAGCAAGTAATTGTGAAGACTATGGCCTGGATCAGGCATACCTTAGTGTCCAGACTGACATTGCTTTTTAGTACTTTGGAAAGGATTCTGATAGCAGACTTTTCCAATGCAATTCGTCTTGATTTTCTGGCTGCTGGTACCAAGAGTGTTGCATATGGAACCAAGCAAACTAAAGCTGTTAACCATCTCAATCTCTTCCCCATCTATTATGATGGTGCCAATAGGACTAGTGGTAAGAATCTTTGTTTTCTTGATGTTGAGCTTCAATCCATCTTGAAGGCTATAGTCCTTAACAACAGACTAGGAACATGTGGGTAGATTGTGTCTATGTGCCTGAGAACAAAGCTCCCACTTCTAAGGCCCCCAGTGGGAACAGTTTCCGTTTGTAATGAGATTGCGCTCAACCCCTACCTGAATGCATGGAGCCCCGGCACATACCCATAACCCACTGGGGCAGTATGACTCAGGCCACCCTCCTGCCTCTGACCCTGCTGATCCGCACCTTTGTGTCAGCCTCACATCCTCACATGGCAACAAGAAGGCTACCTTATGCCCTGTGACACCATGATGACCATATACACAAGCGTGCCAGGGAGTAGAATGTGGTGGCCCTGGAATTTGGAGGCTGAAACATAAAGACCCACTACTGAAAAATCTTGAGTGGGCAGCACAGCTCTGGTTAAAAAAAAGAAAAAATCACTTGTGGCTGTGAGGAAATAACTTCACATCCCTTTCTCCGAGTGCCAGAGGGAGAAAGATAGCAGAGTCTCTTACCCAGCACCTGTGAGGGGTCTGGTCTCTGCAGAAGGCGCCTTTAAGGGTTCCCACGAGCACTCCTGGGGAGGGGGTGGGACAGCCTCCCCTCCATCTGTGGACAAGCCTGGTACCTGGGCTCTGGCCTTGCAGTTCAGGTCCTCAGAAGGCCATGGGACCTGCACACACATGTCCGTGTGTTGTCCACCAGAGACAGAAGCCACCTTCGGCTCACATGCTGCCTAGAACACAGCAGGACTGCAGCACAAAGGGTCCAAGGCAGCCTCTGCAGGACTCCTGCAAACTGGGTGCTCTGCTTCTGCTTATGCAGGAGAGACCTCGAAAGGTGTCTCCTCTGCCTTCCATTTGGGTTAGAAAATCTGTCTTGGATCAACAATCAGAATGACCATTAGATACTAGAATAATGAGGCTTAGAATTCTTGCTTACTGGGGACATGTCCCTGAGAAGACATCATGCTTGGTAGAGGGTCAACAAGGAGGATGCTTGACGATTAACCAGTGGGTGCAACAATGGCCGTAAAACCAGCGGCCGACAGCTCAAGGCCTACAGTGTTTCATTGGCTGTGTGGTACAAGGAGTCCCCTGAATCCGAACTGATTCCAGACACCTAACAACAGGCCTTTGTTTCAGGTAATTTTTATGTCAGCAATTAATTTCTCTCTGAGAGAAAATTCTTTGGACTTTTTTAGAACTCTAGTGGAAAATTACTCCGTGGGGTTTTCTCCCCCGCCCTCAGCTTTATTATTCCTTATTTATCATACTTTTGGAATTGTTTTCTAATTAAAACAATATGCTCTAGATCTGCTTGTTCAGAAATTTTTTATCTTGAAAGACAGGCCAGCTCATATAAAAATCCCTTAAGAACTGAGAAGACCTCAGAGAAGAGAAAGAAGTGTCAATTTCCAGCCAATCCATGATTTTTATGGTTTTATATTTATCTGTTTGTTTGGTTCCGAGAGTTCACCTAGTGTTTTTTGGAGGAACCATGGTAAGCATGGTAACCCTTGAGACCTTATCCTCAGTGAACCACAATTTGAAATTAACTGTACAGCTCAGTGGTGATGCTGTTGTAAGACTAAGGTTTGCCTGACCAAAGCCAAGCACTTTCACCTGCCTCATATGCATGCAGAGTCTGAACAGTGAATAAAGGAACCTATAAATCAATTGATGACTTTGATTTGTTTGTTGGAGGCAAGTATTAAACATACTTTGGGCTGCCTGAAGAATGAACAAAGCTGTCCTGAAAGAAGTCCAACCAGAATGTTCCAGGAATCAAAGGTGGGGAAGCCTTATCCCAGGTACCTGGGACATGTTATCAGGAGGGACCAGTTCATGGAGATGAACATCATGTAAAATCAAGGGTCAACAAAAAAGAGGAAGCCGCTCAGTGAGATGGATTGACGTGGTAGCTGAAGAAGCGGACAGTGATTGTGACGATGGCGCAGGACTGGGTGGTGGTTTGTCCTGCTCTACATGGGATCACTGTGAGTTGGGATCACTGTGAGTTGGGCTCACTTAGGGTTCCTAACAACATTTTTACAGGTTGACTGTCTTGACACATCTAGCTTACTAGTGAGATGAACCAGAAAGAAGCTAGTGGCCTTGAGAGAACCAACGGGACTGGCTGGACTATATAGCTATCAGGCATGGGAGCTGCGCTCGCACTTGGCATCAAGCCTTGTTTGACTATGCCCTTCATTCACGTTCCATACAAAAGGCCAGCTCCTGCCGTCTATATATGTTGTTATTGTAGTTGTTGTTGTTGATTGCCATCAAATTGAGCATGACTGTGACCCTATGAACAAAAGACCTGAAGCCTTTCTATAACTAACATCGTTTCTCAAAGTTCATAGAGTTTCCAGAGGCACATTGTTTTAGAAGTGGATGCCACTCATGCTTCCAAATATGGCTGCAATAATATGCATGATTGATAGTGTATGTGTTACCAAGGGAACTCAAACTGCTGTGAATGATTTTCTTTTAAATTAATACATCAAGAAAGCTTAATGAAAAAAAAAGAAAGCTTACTGAAGCATGAATCTATTCTTCTTAATGCCTTGTTGTTGTTATGTGCCATAAAGTCGCTTGCGACTCATAGCGACCCCATGTACAAGAGCCCTAAACACCATTCTATCCTGTGCCAACCTTGCCGTCTCACACACACTCATTCCCACCACTCCACTCACAGAA